TGGGACCCCTCTGCCTCCTCTTCTCCTCAGTCTGCTCCTCCCCCTGCCAGGGACCCAGCAATGCCCCTCCCCAGCCCTTCCCGCTAACACCAGGCCCCCAGAATGCCCACGCTGTGTGGGCCAGGGCGGGACGGGGGGCCTAGCATTCTAGAGGGCAATTTGATGGAGACAGAGGGGCCCCGGAATCTACGTGCCTGCCCCAACCAGCCCGCTGTCTAGGTGAGAGGTACGGAGGTACAGAGAGAGAGGCCAGGTATGCGAGGCCGGGACACACGTGGGCACGCAGCAGCAGGGTGTGGGCTTAGGGAAGAGGCCTGCCAAGGCCACCTGGGGCTTCGAGGGATTTACAGACACAGACATGTCAAAACAGAAACATTCTTATGGAATTATCTACGGTAGAATCGACTTTTGTTTTTTAAAAGTGCACATTTCCTTCCCATGCAAAAATACACAGGGTTAAAAAAAAAAAAAAGAACTGGAAAAAATTAAACCAGAATGTTAACCCGTTATCTGGCTAACTGGTCATCGAGTCTTTCCGGATGCTGGATCAGGAGGGTGTCGCCTTCTCCCCGTGCGGCTCTGTGCCTCCCCATTCCCCAGGAGGACCATCTCGACCCTGCCAGAACGTGGGCCCACCTGTCAAAGATGGCACCCACGCCTGCGCTGTGGGCGCTGTTGCGGTGGACGTGCAGGCCAGTGGCGAGCAGGATGCCGTCCTTCACAGCGATGGAGCGGTGGGAGAAGGAAGCAATGAGCAGTTCGTTCCAGCCTGGGGGAGGACAGGGCTGTCTCAGGACCGCCTGCTCTGAGCCCCTACCCGGCCCCGACACAGCACGAACCATCAGACACCCATCTTTGCCAGATAGGTTCCCAAAGTGGGCTAGGGGAACCCTGGCGGGTGCGAAGAAACACCACCACCCCCCTCTCGGACAAGGCTTTCCCCACCTGCTGCTGGGCGTTTGTTTCCAGAGAACTTCAGGGTTACCTGGGCCCCGAGGGCCGGAAACATTAGGGATTCTGAAGCTGGGGCCTCAGGGGATAGT